CCGGCAGCCCCAGCGTCTCACCTGGCCCAGCCTGGGCCTTGCGGCTTCCGCTGCCTCCCGGGAAAGGTCCCCCCCCCCGCCACCCCGTGGAGTCCCCGGCGGGACCGTGGGCAGGGCACAGACCTGAAGGGGGGAGGGCGAGGCCCGCAGGTGGAGGAGGCTGCCCTTCGGCTGCCGCTGCCGGCGGGGGAATGAAGCTCTGGCAGACCGAGGAGGCTGAACGAACGGGGAGGAGGCGAGTTGGCGAGGTGGGGAGACAGGGGCTGGGAGGGAGCCTGGCAGAGACGGCGCTGTGGCTCAGCGGATTTGTCCTCGAGGAGAGGCTTTCCAGTGCCCCAGTGAGAAGCAGGGGCGGGGGGGTAACAGAGCCCTCTGTTGAAAACCCTGTAGCCAGGGGAAGGGAAAGGAGTTTGTAAGCCGCTCTGAGATTCCTTTGGGTGGTTGCACTGGAAGAAAAAGGGAGAGAACGGGCTTTAGGACCCCTTGGACAGAGTCCCAGCCCGCTGAGTGTGAACGGGCATACAGCGATGGGCTTCGCTGTGAGGGAGGTAAGTGTGATCGCGTTTCAGCCGGCATAAACTGCACCGGCATAAACTGCACCTGGAATTCACTGCCACAGGAGGTGGTGGCGGCTACAAACATGAACGGCTTCAAGAGGGGATTGGATAAACACAAGAAGAGGAACCCGCAATACTTGCGGGGGGGGGGAGCTCCACGCAAAGGAGGAGGAGGAAGCAGCCGCAGGTAAGCCCCCCCCTTCCTCCGGCACCAATGGTGAGGCCCCCGCGTCCGCCGGCCATTGGGCCCGCCAAGCTTTCTCCTGCCTCCCCCCCCCTCCAGTGGCGGGGGCGGCAGCAAAGCCTTATCAGAGCTCCTTTACTTTGGGGGGGGATTTAAGTATCCCCCCTATAGTTTTTTATGGTTTTTAGGTTTTTCTGCACATCTGGAGATTGCCCCAAATGTGCAGGAAAATCTTCCTGCCCCCCAGGTGCCCCCGGATTTAGATATCCACACGCGTGGGGCGCCTTGGCTGTTGGACATATCGATATGGAGCAGAGGTCCATCAGTGGCTATTAGCCACAATGTACAGACGGGAACTTTCAGTCTGGGGCAAGGGATGCTCTGTAATCTTGGTGCTTGGGGGGGCAAAAGTGGGAGGGCTCCTAGGGTCCTGCCCCCACTGGTGGACCTCCTGATGGCTCCTGGTACTTTTGGCCACTGTGTGACACAAATTGTTGGACTGGATGGGCCATTGGCCTGATCCAACATTGGCTTCTCTTATGTTCTTATAAGAGGGAATTGGATAAGCATATGGAGCAGAGGTCCATTGGGGGCTATTAGCCACAAGGTACAGATGGGAACTCTCAGTCTGGGGCAAGGGATGCTCTGTCTTCTTGGTGCTGGGGGGGGGGGGAAGTGGGAGGGCTTCTAGTGTCCTGGCCCCACTGCTGGACCTCCTGATGGCCCCTGGTATTTCTGGCCACTGTGTGACACAGAGTGTTGGACTGGAGGGGCCACTGGCCTGATCCAACGTTGGCTTCTCTTATGTTCTTATGTTGGTCTTGAAGGTGCCCACTGGACTCAAAACTTCGTTCTGCTGTTTCAGACCAACACGGCCACCCACCTGAATCTATCCTGTACTAAGTTTCTCTAAAAATTCCCAGACTTATTTCGTCCTATGGTTTGTGTGAAGGAACAGACTTTCAAGCCCCTGTTCCTTCAGTCCCCAGGAATTTAGAAAACTCTGCAGCTGCCATGAGACTCACAAAACCACTGGACAGTAACCACTCCCAGCAGTCAGCCCTAAGATACTGGGTTCTAGACGCATCGCAGCGATCCACTCTAGTTTATTAAGTGATTTCAGCAAACTGCAAGGACAACCAGCAGGGCTTGAGCCCTGCTTATAAAGCATACGCACACCACACCCAACACACACACACACTCCCAGTGATAGGCTATTTACATTGCACCAGTTATCTATTGGCTTGTTCTAGGATCCTAGCTAGCTATTGTTCTAAGGTAGCAAGCTCCACCCATACCTGGTACAGTTAGAGGAACGGTTTAGGCTCAATACATAACACTTCATGTGTTGACTTTCGTCCCCCTCCCCACCAGGGCGACTTGGCCGGTTTTTATACAGTTTCAAAAGCCCGCCACACTTACTTGGCCAGCAGGAAACAAAAGAAATAGTACGCCCCACGCCAGTGGAAGGCAGACTTCTGAAGCCACTCTTGGTTCTCTTTACTACCATCTCCCGCCTGAATGGACGGGGATGGATTCCAATGGATGAGGCCACTGGGGGTCCAAGAGGAGCCCAGAATCCAGCCCTGGTACTTTCTGGTGCCCAGGGCTCATTTCACAGAAAAAGAGGTGCAAGAGCTCATTAGCATAACTCATTTGCATATGCCACACACCCCTGACCTTACCGGATGTGTGTCAGAAGGCAACGCCCACCGCTCAGGCTCCACTGGACTGTTTACGATTGCTAGCTATTGGGGTGGGGTGGGGGAGCGTGCAGATCTGTCCTTGCAGAGGAGGGAGAGCTTGTACCTGAATAAAACTTGGTCTTAAAGGTGCCACTGGACTGTTCTGGACCGGGGGGGCTGGGAGGGGGGCTCTGCAGCTTACCTGGCTGCTTCTTGCTCTGACTGAGGGCTGCTGGGAACAGGGGGTGGGGCTTGTTGCATGTGCCCGCCCCCTGGGCTCTTTACTGCCGGAGCTCCGCTCCTGTGCGCTCCTGCAGGAAATTATCCCTGCCGGTGCCACTGTCCAGTTCACCCCACGGTGCTACGCTGAGGGGTCAGCGGCAACAGGAAGGAAGGGCTGAGCAAGAAGCAGACTTACTTCCGGATGGTCTCAGCTGCCCACGCCCTCCTCTGGGCCTCTTTGCGTGCCAGAACTCCTCTCCACCGGGCCTCCAACTTGATGGCTGCAAAAGAGAATCCCAATGCCATATACACATCATTATTATTACTATTATCATTATCATTATTATTATTATGGACGCCAAGTTGGCTGTAACCAGGGCCAGGGCTTTCTCGGTGGCGGCTCCGTTCTGGTGGAATGAGCTCCCAGAAGACATCAGGGTCCTGCGGGACCTTATGCAGGACCTGCAAGACGGAGCTCTTCCGCCATGCTTTCAACTAGGAGCTGCCACCAACAGTTGAAAGGTAAAGAGCCCGGTCCCCTGGAGCCATCAACAACAGTCTGTGCCAGCTGCAAAGAGGATTAGATTGATGGACCGATCATCAGTGTTATGTCCGCAGACCGCCACTAGGTGCCAGCGGTATGCGACCAGAGCTTTGCTCCAAAAGAACAATGGGGACTAGGACCCTGAGATTCCTAGTCAACACCAATGTTCCCTCTAAGCTGTGGAGTCTTGTGAACAAAAATGGTACTTTGTGAGCTACTGGCATTCAAGTTGTGAGCGAGCCATTTGGCTGCCGCATAAATTAGCTTGCTCTGGAGCCACATCCTTCCGGAGCGAAGACAAAAATGTGTGAGCTGGAGGCTAAAGAACTGTGAGCTAGTTCACACTAACTCAGCTTAGAAGGAACACTGGTCAACACCTACAGGAACTGTGGCAGGAAGTTCAAACCCACCAATGGGACCTGTGGGTGGCGCCCAGGGACTGTATATAGTTGGTCGTTCGACCGGTTGTGTGTTGTTGTGTTGTGTGCCAGTAAAGTATGAGCTGCTAATCACTCAGCGTCTGTCTTCACTACGCATCGAACCCAGTACACAACAATCAGATTACGCTATTGACCAATGGCTGCCATCAAGTTTAGCCTGGGAAAGAGAAGGCTTAGAGGGGACACGATTGCAGTCTTCAAGTATTTGAAGGGCCGTCATGTAGAAGATGGAGCGGATCTATTCTCTCTTGCTCCGGATTGCAAGACTAGATCTAATGGGTGGAAATTACAAGGGAGTCGTTACCGGCTAAATATCAGGAGAAACTTCCTGTCAGAGTGGTTGGGCAGTGGAACAGACTGCCTCGGGAGGTGGTGGAGGCTCCTTCGCTGGACGTTTTCAAGCGGAGGCTGGACGACTATCTTTGGGGTATGTTGTAGGTATGTAGGGCTATCTTTCAGCTATGCTCCTGCAGAGTTCAGGGGGTTGGACTAGATGGCCTGCAAAGTCCCTCCCAACTCTTAACGTTCTATGGTTCTATGATTCTATGATGATTTAATAACAGGTCTTCTATTAGTACTATTTAATGTTTATAGCCCGTTATAATGTTGGGGTGTTTTCAGACGATTTTAAGATTGTTTAAATTGTTACTGATGTGTTCCCATCCAACCCCCCGCATCTCGAGTTTGAAAGATCAAGTTGAAGGTGGTGCGAAGGCCCTGGAGAGCCAGCCTGAGTAGACAAGACTGACCTCGATAGACCGAGGGTCTGAGTCAGTGGGAGGAGGCTTCATGTGTTCACCTGTGTTCACGGACCCTTAGGGTGGCCAGTGCCTCAGGAAGGCAGTTGTCTCCCCACCAATGTTCCCTCTAAGCTGTGGAGTCTTGTGAGCAAAAATCCTACTTTGTGAGCTCCCGGGCATTAAAGTTGTGAGCAAGTGATTTGGCCACTGCATCAATTAGTTTGCTCTGGAGCCATCCTTCCTGAGCTAAAACAAAAATCTGTGAGCTGGAGGCTAAAAACTGTGAGCTGGCTCACACTCACTCAGCTTAGAGGGAACACTGCTGATGTGACCAGTGTTCCCTCTAAGCTGAGTTAGTGTGAGCTAGCTCACAGTTTTTTAGCCTCCGGCGCACACATTTCTGTCTTCGCTCAGGAAGGGATGGCTCCAGAGCAAACTCGTTCATGCAGCAGCCCAATCGCTGGCTCACCACTTTAATGCCAGGAGCTCACAAAGTAGAACTTCCGCTCACAAGACTCCACAGCTTAGAGGGAGCGTTGGATGTGACCTGACAGAATGCGGCCTAACAGCTCAGTTATCTACTTGCATGAGCCCGCTCAACTTATTATCAGCAAGCTCTAGCCTCTCCTGAGATTAATACCATCCCCCCACAAGGGTAGCTCACAAAACAAAACCCATTAACACGGCACTATACCTGCTTTCCCCCCACCCAGTTATATACATCGGGGAAAATGTCAAGATAGACGACAGGCAGCAGATGGCGCTGGTGCCACAAGATCGGGCAACTCTGGGAGGACCGATTTGCAGACCTTTGAACTGGTGATGCTTAACATGTTTTTATATCAGACTATAGCTTAATAGGGGCCATAGTGACTTAGAGGTTAAGAAGACACTGAGCTGCAGACCGGAAGGTCGGTAGTTCACCAGTTCGAGAGCCGAGACCCGAGTGCCAACCTAGCAGTTCAAAAGCAAGAAATTGCAAGTAGATAAACAGGTACTGCGTCAGTGGGAAGGTGACAGTGTTCCGTGCGCCTCGGTGTCTGGTCATGCCGGCCACATGACCATGGAAACGTCTTCGGACAGCGCTGGCTCTTCAGCTTGGAAACTGAGATGAGCTCCACCCCCCCCGCCCCCCAGAGTCAGATTTGACTGGCTTTCGAGCAAGAGGAAACCTTTACCTTTTTTATAGCTTAATACTCAGGCTGAGAACTCTGGGGTGGGAAATCTGTAGAGATTTGGGAGGGGAGTCGGGGGCGGGGGGCTCAGCAGGGGTGTGGTGTCATTGGAGCCTATCCCCTGAAGCTGCAATTTTCTCCGGGGGAGCTGATCTCTGTCATCTGGAGAGCAGATGGAATTCCAGGAATATTCCAAACCCGGTTTTATTTACTCTGTTTATCCTACTCCATCACTTGGCTTATCTGTTAGAACGCCTGACCTTCCTCAACCATCGATTAGGTGTCACTTACTAGTTCTGTCGAGCTATGTCAAGAGCCACACCTCGCCCCTTTCTACCTACATTCATCCCTTTCCTCCTTACCAGCCAGTTTGGTGTAGTAGTTAAGTGCGCGGAGTCTAATCTGGGAGAACCGGGTTTGATTCCCCACTCCTCCTCCACTTGCAGCTGCTGGATGACCTTGGGCAAGCCGTAGTTCTGCCAGAGCTGATCTTGAAAGGGCAGGGCTAAGTGGGCGCTTTTGCCCAGCATGTCTTCCGATTGGCTGTGCATATTTTTAAAACCACAGGCATCTTCATTGCATTTGGTGGCTGGCTCTACCTCCCGCAGCAGCCATTTTGTGGCAGCCAGTCTTTGTGGCTGCGCCCATCACCCTATCAGAATCCCAAAGGCACCTGCAGGCTCAGAAAGGTTGGAAGCCCCTGCTCTAGCTCTAGACTGGCAGTTTGCTTCTCTGCAAGATTAAGTATCCAGGGCACGGTTAGAAGGCTAAAGCGAAGGAGGCCAATTCCAAACAGTTCTGGTGTAGTTTGGTGTCGTGGTTAAGTGTGTGGACTCGAATCTGGGAGAACCCGGTTTGATTCCCCACTCCTCCTCCACTTGCACCTGCTGGTGTGACCTTGGGTCAGTCACAAGCAATGTTCCCTCTAAGCTGTGGAGTCATGTGAGCAAAAATTCTACTTTGTGAGCTACTTGCATTAAAGTTGTGAGCGAGCGATTTGGCTGCTGCATAAATCAGTTTGCTTTGGAGCCATCCTTCCTGAGCTAAGACAAAAATGTGTGAGCCGGAGGCTAAAAATCTGTGAGCTGGCTCACACCAACTCAGCTTAGAGGGAACTATGGTCACAAGTACTCTCAGAGCTGTTCTTGAAAGAGAGCAGTTTCTGTCAAGAGCTCTCTCAGCCCCGCCTACCTCACAGGCAATGTTCCCTCTAAGCTGTGGAGTCTTGTGAGCAAATATTCTACTTTGTGAGTGAGTGATTTGGATACTGTATAAATTAGGTTGCTCTGGAGCCATCCTTCCTGAGCTAAGACAAAAATCTGTGAGCTAGCTCACACTAACTCAGCTTAGAGGGAACACTGCTCACAGGGTGTCTGCTGTGGGGAGGGGAAGGGAAAGGAGTTTGTAAGAGGCTCTGAGACTCCTTTGGGAAGTGAAGGGCAAGGGGAATAAATCCAATCTCCTCCTCCTCCTCTTCTTCTTCTTCTTTTAGCAGAGCTGCATTGCAAGGTCTAAGCAACCCCCCCCCCCAAATAGCCTCAAACAAGGACTTACCAGCTTGCCTCTTCTTCTGGTACTCGCGCCTCCCCAGACATCCTTTGTATTTAGCTTGCACTCTGGAAACTGAAAGGGGGGAGAAGGTAATCACCTGCCATGCCTTGTCTGCTGGGAGCCCAGGTCTGCAGTGATTCCACCCAGGTGCTGAGTTAATCCTAGCCCCTCGCTTTTTCCAAGAGGACACGGGAGATTCGGTCATCCTGATTAGGGCTGGATTGTGTGGATCTGGTCCACAAAGAGGGGTGGCTTTCTCCTGCAGAGAAGACTCCTTGCACGGGGAGGGGGGGGTCCCGCCAATTTTAATTTTTGGAATCCACTGGGAAACAGCAGCAGGGTTCAAGCGGAACAGGGTTCCAGAATTTTCCAGGGTTCCAGAATTTACCAAGGACATACTTAGCATATGTTTCCTGTACTCAAAGGCATCTTCAGTGGCAAACAGAGTTCTCGGGAAACGGATGAATATCTTGGTCCTGAAGGAAGGAAAACATCTTATGAATAAAGGACAGCCCATGCGATAGAACTTAAAGGCAGAAAATATTTACCTCCATTTAATATGCTTTCCCTCCTATTTCCATCTCTAGTTCCAGCTCCTGCCAACCTAGCAGTTCGAAAGCAAGAAATTGCAAGTACCACTTCGGTGGGAAGGGAACAGCGTTCCGTGCGCCTTGGTGTTCAGTCATGCCGGCCACGTCTTCGGACAGCGCTGGCTCTTCGGCTTTGAAACAGAGATGAGCACCGCAACCCTAGAGTCGTATTCGACTGGCTTTCGAGCAAGGGAACCTTTACCTTTTTACTCCTATTGCTAAAGGACAAGGGTACTGGGATGTTTGCTTAAGATAGCAGTGTTTTGCCCAGTCATAGAGGCGTGATACTGAGTGCAGTAAATAAATCTCCCAAAAAGTGCATTGCAAAAAAAAGGTAAGCATAGGGTGCGTTCAGATGGGCAGCTAATCCCGCCATTATGCCAGTTTGAATTTTATCCTGATCTTTTTAATCCATCGTAGCACAACCAGACATCCCCCTGGTGAATCGCCTTACCGCACACTGCCTCCATTGTGGATTGTTTAGACGGCGTCCACTGAAGGAGGCATGCGCGGTGGGTTTTTTTTAAAAAACTTTTGCGCATGCGCATAGGCGTCACAGCACTTCCTTGTTGATCCGCGCATGAACATAAGAACATAAGAACATAAGAGCCGCCAATGTTGGATCAGGCCAAAGGCCCATCCAGTCCAACACTCTGTGTCACACAGTGGCCAGAAATACCAGGTGCCATCAGGAGGTCCAGCAGTGGGGCCAGGACACTAAAAGCCCTCCCACTGTTGACCCCCCCCCCAGCACCAAGAAGACAGAGCATCACTTGCCCCAGAGATTTTTTAAAATGTAGAGATTTTTTTAAATGGTGCCCGCTCGGGATGGTCTGACGTCAGACCACCCCGACAGGAGGATTGCGTGCTGGTGGAACGATCAGACGGTGAAAGTCCGCAGTTGTCCCGCAGGTAACTGAAAACCCCAGATTTAAAGTGCTATCGTTTAAGTATGGCTCCGAAGCGTGGCAAAACGGGATGCCCACGGAAGAGGGACATTCCCCAGATGTTTGTGTCTGGACATTGCCTTTAGATCCGTGAGGCAATCGTGCCTCACGCGGATCTAAAGAGCCGTCGGATCGGACTCATAGTTATCCAAGTAGATCCCGTTCACGTTCAGGTTGCAGTCGAAAGGAGAGAGAGAAGCCTAATCTAAAGAGGACTTTCCCTGTCACAAAAGGTCAGCTCGCCCTGCATCCATCCTTTCTTCCCCTTTGCTATCAGATATGTTAACTCTTCCCTGCCACTGTGTAAGAAGTCATTTCCGTTACCTGCCCTCATTTGAATTTTATGCAATCCTTGTCGTTTGGGTGTTTCTAAACCACCTGGAGGCCCATAAGTGGACGAGAATGGGAGGTGTGAATATCTGCAAGGGAGTCAAGTAACTGGATGGTGGTAGAAAGTACTTATCACGTCACAGCCGACTTATGGCGGCCCCATAGAGTTTTCAAGGCAAGAGACGTTCAGAGGTGGTTTGCCAGTTTGAGAGCCAGTTTGGTGTCGTGGTGAAGTGCACGGACTCTAATCTGGGAGAACCGGGTTTGAGTCCCCACTCCTCCTCTTACAGCTGCTGGATGACCTTGGGCAAGCCACAGTTCTGTGAGAGCTGTCCTTGAAAAAGAGCAGTTTCTGTCAGAGCTCTCTCAGCCCCACCCACCTCCTAGGGTGTCTGTTGTGGGGAGGGGAAGGGAAAGGAGTTTGTGAGCTGCTCTGAGACACCCTTGGGTAGTGAAGGGCGGGGGATAAATCCAATCTCCTCCTCCTCCATCACCTGCCTCTGCCTCACAACCCTGGACTTCCATAGCGGTCTCCCACCCAGTTACTAACTAGGGCCGACCCTGGTTAGTTCCCAAGATCTGATGGGCTCAGGTTAAGGTAAGAAATGTTCAGAAGTTGCTTGCCCTTGCCTGCCTCTGCTCAGCAACCCTGGACTTCCTTGGAGGTCGCCCATTCAAGTACTAACCAGGGCCGACCCTGCTTGGTTTCTGAAGCTAAGATGAAAGGCAGCGGCACAGCAATATATGGCAACAAGAAAAAAATGCATGTGCCCAGATTTTAACACCAATAATCAATGCATTTAATAATAGTAAGCTAGCAGAGTCAACTGGCAGAGACACTACTACATCCTTACAGTTCAAGGACTTTTTTGAATTTATTACGAATTGTTTGTGGAAAAAACTCCACCTGTGAATTTCTACCCGTGATCAACTTTACCAGTGAATTTCTACCTGTCGTTTATGGGAAAATTTGTTCTGAGTACTTTATATGTCTTACTGTTATTAACTGCATCGATTATCGGTGTTGAGATTTGGGCACATGCATTCTTTTTTTCTTGTTTCCATAGCTTCTGAGATCGGACAAGATCAGGCTAAGCCTGGGACGCCCGCGACCCACATCCCAAAACTGGCACTTACTTCCCCATTTTATACTCGTCCGGCTTGTACCCAAGGTGCTTGACCAACTTCTCCACTCCCCTGGCCGCCGAGCCCCGCCAGTGAGGCCAAGTTTCTGGGCACAGACATTTGTACCTAAAAAACATTCAGAGGAACAAGAGAAAAGCATTCTGTACCCAGAAGACCAGAACAAATGGGACCCACAGCAACTGCAGATGAAACGTATGTGGAGGGACTAAGTTCTCAAACGGCTTGCCCCATTGTCTGCAAAACATCTCCAAGTCAGAGTCCCTCTAAGTCAATGATGGTGAATCTTTTAGAGACTGAGTGTCCAAACTGCGACCCAAAACCCACTTATTTATTGCAAAGTGCCAACACGGCAATTTAACCTGAATACTGAGGTTTTACTTTAGAAAAAACAACTCATAAATTAACTTAAGATGATCCAAACAAAGTAAGGAAAGCAATCCCAAATGCTTTCATTGACTTAACATTATTTGGCAGAGAATTCGACACTTTAATGATGGTCTGGGCCTGGCTGTAGCGATGGCACGCGTGCCCACAGAGAGGGCTCTGAGTGCCGCCTCTGGCACCCATGCCATAGGTTCGCCACCACTGCTCTAAGTGTTCCCAATTTGAGACATCAGAGCCTCTGCAGCCTCTGAAGAGCCTCCCATGGGCTTACCTTTGTAAGAAGTGCTCGTACTTCCGACGGTAAGCGAAGCCGGCCCGCCTGACCCGCAGGTGCTCCATCAGACCCAAGTACTTCACCTGGTGTCTGATCAAGGAGTCGTCGAATTTGTCTGCAGAAAAACAAGCCACACAAAGTCCTGATGACTGCCACTGACTGGACAAAGATAGGGTATCATCATGCCCCTATATAAATCAATGGTGCGATCTCATTTGGAAGACTGTGTGCAGTTCTGGTCACCACACCTCAAAAAGGATATTATAGCTTCGGAAAAAGTGCAGAAAAGGGCAACTCAAATGATAAAAGGGTTGGAACACTTGCCCTATGAGGAAAGGTTAAAGCGCTTAGGGCTCTTGAGCTTGGAGAAACGACGGCTGAGGGGTGACATGATCGAGGTTTTTAAGATTATGCATGGGAAAGAGCAGGTAGGGAAGGGTGAGAACGGATAAAAGGAAGTCCTTCTTCACCCAAAGAGTGATGACCACATGAAATTCACTGCCACAGGAGGTTGTGGCAGCTACAAGCACGGACGGCTTCAAAAGGGAATTAGATAGGCACTTGGAGCAGAGGTCCACCAGTGGCTATTAGCCACAAGGTATAGATAGGGACTCTGGGGCAAGTGATGCTCTGTCTTCTTGGTGCTTGGGGGGGGTCAACAGTGGGAGGGCTTCTAGCATCCTGGCCCCACTGCTGATGGCACCTGGTGTTTTTGGCCACTGTGTGACAAAGAGTGTTGGACTAGATGGGCCATTGGCCTGATCCAACATTGGCTTCTCTTATGTTAAGAGCACAGGTCCATCAGTTAGCCACAAGGTATAGATAGGGACTCTGGGGCAAGTGATGCTTTGTCATCTTGGTGCTTGGGGGGGTCAACAGTGGGATGGCTTCTTGTGTCCTGGCCCCACTGGTGGACCTCCTGATGGCACCTGGTATTTTTGGCCACTGTGTGACACAGAGTGTTGGACTGGATGGGCCACTGGCCTGGTCCAACACTGGCTTCTCTGATGTTATGTTCTTAGGGTTGCAAGCTCTGAGGCAGAAAGGAGCCTGGGAGGAAGGTGGACAATTGTCTTGTGGCGTGAGCAGGGGGGTGGCCAATTCAGAGGGGGCAGGATATCAGGGACTGGGGGGGTAGGTTTGCTAGATCCAGGTTGGGAAACTCCTGGCAATTTGGGGATGGAGCCTGGGGAGGACAGGGACCTCTGTGGGGTACAATGCCATTATAGGGCCCACTTTCCAAAGCATCCATTTTCTCCAGGGGGGAACTGGTCTCTGCAGTCTGGAGATCAGCTATAATTCCAGGGGATCCCCAGGCCCCACCTGGAGGCTGGCATCCCTGTTAGGGACAGATAAAACTCTCAGAAGTCAGCCACGGCTCCACCTGGCTCAGGATTACCCACCCCGGCTGGTTGCAGCAGAAACGAAGAAGAAGAAGAGATTGGATTTATACCCCATGGCCCTTCACTACCCGAAGGTGTCTCGGAGCGGCTTATGAACTCCTTTTCCCTTCCCTTCCCCTCCCCACCACAGACACCCTGTGAGGTAGGTGGGGCTGAAAAAGCTCTGACAGAAACGGCACTTTTTCAAGGACAGCTCTGACAGAACTACGGCTTGCCCAAGGTCATCCAGCAGCTGCAAGTGGAGGAGTGGGGAATCAAACCCGGTTCTCCCAGATTAGAGTCCGCGCTCCTAACCACTACACCAAACTGGTGTCCTTCAGTGTCCCTGAAAAGGAGTGTTCCTCAGAAGAACTGCAGCCTGAAAGGGTGAAAGACACCAGAGACATCAAGGGAACTGAGTATTTTGGATTTGCACAGTATGGGAGGGGGCACAAAATCAGTCCAATCTTAATAATAATAAAAACCCCTCATATGTGTAATTGCAAAACATACTGGGGAAAAGTCACCCCATGAAAACCATTCTGGCTGGATTCCTCCCAAATAGCAAGCGTACCTGGAAGTCCGCAAATATACATTTGTATTCAGTAGACTTGAAAAGAAACCATATTCCTGCCCCCTCCCATTTTTTGCCTCATGTTTTTAGGTATTCCACGAGGGCTAGAAACTTGGTTTTATAATACAAGAAAGACTGGAGCGTAAGGATCATAGAGGCTGCCTCAAAGCCCGCGTAGTGCCAAGGAGAAGTACCTTGCGACCCTGCACGTCCCGCCCTGCGTGGTCCCCTTACCCGGCTCCTTGCTGTCATTGGGTTTGATGCACCGGATATAGGACGGCTCTTTAGACATGAGGATTTCTATCAGACTCGCCAGGCTGTTTTTGAACTGAGTTGCAACCTGCAGAGACCAAAGAGTTCGGTGAGGGCAGTCAGCAACGCCTAAGGAGCATCGCTGGAGGCCAGGGCATCTTGCCTTCCCCAGTTTTGCAGCTTTCCCTTCTGACCCAAAGACCTGGAAGTATATCTGCATCCAAGGCAGCCTCTGACAAGAGTTCAGCCCCCTCACATCAGCAGGACAGGAAGGTCGTGGGGGGGGGGGCTCCTGGATTGGCTCATGCCATTGCCAACCGGATCCAAGCAAAGCCCCTCTGGCAGTTCTTGGACCTGCCTGGTATACACGTACGGTTGCCAGTCTCCAAGTGGTTGCAGCCACAAATGGACCACAGTGACTCAACCAAGGTTGCACCCCACCAATGTTCACTGTGCAAAAATGATTCTAGTCAAATTACAGTCCACAAATATGCTGCTGCTGCAGCTTCTTTTTGTTTCTTTATTTTACATCATGCAGTGCTGCCGCTGCTGCTTCCAACAATTGCCACGCGACTACAGATTTCCCAGGTAAACAATCTGTTTCCCTCAATGCTTCGTCAGGTCACTTTATATTTGGAGCCTGTGCTCTACGTCTCCTACTCAGAATTAGTCTTGTATTTTCTCGGCATCTGCTGGCTCTCATGAGAGCCAGCAGATGCCGAAAAAATTAATTCTGAGAAGGAGGAGGAGGAGGAGACTGGATTTATACCCCGCCCTTCACTACCCAAGGGAGTCTCAGAGCGGCTTACAAACTCCTTTCCCTTCCCCTCCCCACAACAGACACCCTGGGAGGTCGGTGGGGCTGAGAGAGCTCTTGACAGAAACGGCTCTTTTTCAAGAACAGCTCTTATCAGAGCTATGGCTTGCCCAAAGTCATCTAGCCAGCTGCAAGTGGAGGAGTGGGGAATCAAACCCGGTTCTCCCAGATTAGAGTCGGCGCACTTAACCTCTACACCAAACTGGCGTAGGAGGCGTAGAGCATGGGCTCCAAGTATAAAGCGACCTGACAAAGCATTGAGGGAAACAGATTGTTTACCCGGGAAATCTGTAGTCGCATAGCAGCAGCACTGCATGACGTAAAATAAAGAAACAAAAAGAAGAAGCAAATTCGTGGACTGTAATTGGACTAGAATCATTTTTGCACAGTGGACATTGGTGGGGTGCAACCTCCAAGGGGTGGATGGAGATCTCGTGGGATTCCAGTGATCTCCAAACGACAGAGATCAGTTCCCCTGAAGAAAATGGTGGCTTTAGAAGGTGGACTCTTAAGGCATGATTCCCCACTGATGGCCCTCCACAGACTCCGCCCTCAAAATCTCCAGGAATTTCCCAACCTGGAGCTGGCAACACTATACACCGGTGGTGGTGTGAGCCCAAGAGGGTCAGGGTGTACCTTGCTTGGGCTGACAGACTACAAGGTGTCTCCATGAAACTTCTACAACTTTAAATAAACACAGCTTCTGAATGGGGACACATAGCAGAAGACAGTTCTTTCGCACAACTTCGAAAGTTTATTGTAGCAAAAGAAATGTGTTCTGGGGCTCTGAAAAGCCTCCTGTTGTCCGAGAGACAGAAGGCGACGGCCCCAAAAGACCTGTGATTCGCAAAGTCATGCATGACTGCGTGGTGGGACCATTTCTCCTCAATGAGCCGACCCACCAATGAAACGAATTACATACAGATGTGGCAAAACCAGGTTGTCACCCAGTCGCCTAATCATGCTCAAGTGATTTTCCCAGCAAGAAAACTTGGGGAAGGGAGGGGACATGACCAGTGGTCTCTCCCTTGAACACATGAAGCTGCCTTACACTGAATCAGACCCCTGTCAGGACCATCAAGGTCGTCTACTCAGACTGGCAGCCGCTCTCCAAGGTCTCAGGCAGAGCCCTTCCTCGTCACCTACTGCCTGGTCCTTTTCAACTGGCAATGCCGGGGATTGAACCTAGGGCCTTCTGCATGCCAAACAGATGTTCTAACATTGAGCAATGGAGATTCAAGATTAGCTGAACGCAACATTTCCAGGTCACTGGATTGGTAGGTGAGGTTCAGTCCCGTGGCCTCCCTGCTTTCCTGACATAACCCCTCTAAGACTCCTTTTTGTGGGAATATCTCAAGACCGAAGGGAGGTAAACATGACAGAGGAACTACAACGAACGATCAGTAATACTGTTGCAAACGTAGATCCAAGCCTGCTTGAGCAAACCTGGAGGGGCCGGGGCTCAGTGGAAGAGCATCTGCTTGGCATGCAGAAAGTCCCAGGTTCAATCCCCGATATCTCCAGTTAAAAGAACTGGCAGCAGGTCGTGTGAAGGACCTCTGCCTGAGAACTTGGGGAGCCGCTGCCAGTCTTGAGTAGACAGCACTGACAATGATGGGCCGAGGCTCTGAGGCAGCTTCACGTGTGTTCACGTGTGTTCACGAGAGAGAATCCGAGCATCGACTTATTATCCTCCAGGCAAAAACGGGGGCTCATGTCAAAGTAGAATTTGGGTGACTGTATGTAAAAATAAACTTTTTAATTAAAATTTTGGATGCATTGTATCCCATAAAGCAAACGTCATTACTATATGCATTTTCTTTTTCTTTTTTTTGCAAATAACAATTTGTATTAAATTTTTAAAAATATGAATACAACAAAACAATAAAGTATCTAACTTTTAAACAAAAATACAATATAAACATTAAGCAAAGATATCTTACATAAAATCAATCATGTGCTAGTAGAAAGCAAAGTCTTTATACTTCTGTGGTAAAGTAAAAGCCCGTGGTTGACAATTTACTTTTAAACAGGCGATCAGGTATAAGATAAAAAGGTAAAGGTTCCCTTGCTCGAAAGCCAGTCGAATCCGACTCTAGGGGGCAGTGATGGAGCTCACTCCGTCATGCGGCACCTGGGTCTCGAACTGCTGAACTACTGACCTTCCACAGCCTGCAGTTCAGCGTCTTAACCACTTGAGCCACCACAGCTCCCAGGCATAAGATACCACCTCGCATATAATTTGAAATGCTGTCGTATATGCATTTTCATTCAGTATTTCATTGTGATTCAAAATTGCAAAGGTTTCATTTGGACACGCTCTGCACTTTGGCCCCGCCCTCCTCCATTGCGGTTCAGATTTGGGGACAGAACTCACCGTCTCGGGCCTCCTCCGGCTATCCAGCTCGGACAGGTGGAAACATTCCCGGACGATGCCGTTTTTGGATTTACACAGCACCTTGGAACAAATCACACACATATAAAAAAACCTAACAGAGGCTATTCAGCAGATCAAATCAAGCATGTCCTGCCTTTTTCAGCTCCCCTTCAAGGACGTTTCCCCCCTTTTACCCCTTCTAGCCCAACGCCAGCCCTTCCCAAAAGCAGGATCATTGCAACACAAAAAGAGGTTTCCCCCAGTATTGTGACGCTGGGTGTCCAGGGCTGGGCTGGGAAAACGTGGATGGACACCTCCTCTCACTGCTCAAAGAGGAGAGGCAGGCAAGCACCAATAGCACAGAGGAGAGAGAGAAGGGCAGGGGGCCCCAGGGATGGCGGTGGGACCGCCTCCTCGGGCACAGGCCTCAGCAGCTGCCCAGCTATGCCAGCCCCTGATGCCAGCCCTGCATCGACACACTAAGTGTGTTGCTAAGTTAACCAGGGCTCTATTGCTGCACAGAAGCACAGCTTCGACCACAGGATACAAGAGGATCCTGTCAGAACACAAGGTGGCAGATTCAACAACAGATGTTTAACATTTATTTAACACTTTCAGTTTCCAAAACACTGAGTGCTGTAACTCTTCCAGTAGTCTTGTAAGGTAGATTATTATTATTATTATTATTATTATTATTATTATTATTATTATTATTGACGCTCAAATGCTTTGTTTGCCGGTCCTGAATAAGGAGCCAGTTTTTCAACAGGCTGTTCCTCGGCCCATTTGTGACTGCTTGGCAGGTAATTCAGGCTATTCCTTCCTAACAGCCTAGGTAAAGGTAAAGGTTCCCTTGCTCGAAAGCCAGTCGAATCCGACTCTAGCTCATCTCCGTTTCCAAGTCGAAGACCCAGCGCTGTCCAAAAACTTCTCCTTGGTCGTGTGGCCGGCATGACTAGATGCCGAGGCGCACGGAACGCTGTTACCTTCCCACCGAAGCGGCACCTATTGATCTACTTGCATTTTCTTGCTTTCGAACTGCTAGGTTGGCAGGAGCTGGGGCCAGAGACGGGAGCTCACTCCATCACGTGGCCCTCGGGTCTCAAACTGCCAAACTACAGACCTTCTGGGCTGCAGTTCAGCGTCTTATTAACCCCTGAGCCACCGCAGCCCCTCCTAGCAGCCTAGCACCACACAATCAGCTCTGCTTGGATAGGCAATCCAAGGGAATTCCGCTCTCCTTCTCTCCTGCTCCACTTGGCAAGCAATTGTTTAAATAAACAGCGAAATCAGTCGTAAATCGCATAAATCAGTAAAAAATGCTGTGTTTTAAAAATCATAACATCTGATATGGCCCTTTGACATATTCAGGGCTGCAGACCTGATTGGATCAGCAGTGTTTTTTTTGGGGGGGGGCACCTATACAATCCTCTTTGTTGCCAAACCCAAAGATCCAGTGATTGGCTGACCTCTGATGGACACAAATGAACACAGCAAGTTTGATTGCAGAATATGTTGGCTGAGAAATTTGCAGCAGTCCTAATTATTATTATGAGGGCACAAAGGGGGGGATATTCAGGGGTTATTTCTTGCAGGAGCACACAGGAGCGGAGCTCCAGCAGTAAAGAGCCCAGGGGGCGGGCACATGCAACAAGCCCCACCCCCTGCTCCCAGCAGCCCTCAGTCAGAGCAAAAAGCGGCCAGGTAAGCTGCAGAG